TAACTCTTCATTTCAATAACGGTGATAAATATCCAATATTACGTATAATCATATAAATCAGCTGTGGACCTGAAATTCGTGACTTTTATTGGCGTCGCGGATAGCCAATCACCAAGCTCGCCACCGGTTGCGCTTCTTTGATAATCTGGGGCTTTAGAGTTGACTGAGAGACAGATGGGAAATCGAAGAGCCACTTCCGAAATTTTGCCTTTGTGGCATGAAAGAAAGAAAGAAAATTTCCTGCATCGAATTGTTACTGGCGATGAGAAGTGGATATATTTCGAGAATCCCAAACTCAAAAAATCGTGGCTTTCACCTGGCGAAGCATCAACATCGACGGCACGGCCAAATCGCTTCGGAAAGAAGACAATGCTCTGCGTTTGGTGGCACCAGAAAGGAATCGTATACTATGAGATCCTGAAACCGGGCGAAACTGTCAATGGGCATCGCTACCGACAACAACTGATCAATTTGAACCATGCATTGCTCGAAAAACGGCCAGAATAGGACACGAAACACGAACGAGTGATATGCTTGATGATGATGGCTTGACTGGAAAACACTTGGCCAATTTAGAAGAAGTGCAAAATTGGTTGGATGAATGGTTTCGGTCCAGAGACGTGTCGTTTTATCGTCGCGGTATTCATGTATTGCCAGAGAGATGGCAAAAATGTGTAGCTAGCGAAGGACGATACTTTGAATAAACCATTTTTTGTATTTCTCTTGAAATTTTCCATTTTTCGTTGGTCAAAAGAACCCGGAAACTTAGTTGCGCATCTAGTAAATTGTTTCAATGAAGCACATGAGAACAGAATAATTATTCACGACATTGATATAGCACGATGGGCTGTCCGAGTACAAGAAGAAGAAAATGCACCAAGATTCACAGCTTCAGAGACATGGGTGAGAAGATTTAAACTTATGCATAAAATTGTATTACGGAAAATAACAAAATTTGTTACTAAAATGTCTGTTATCAGAAACAGATCTAGAAAATAAATGCGTAACATTCATTAAAAATGAACTTTAAACTTATAATTAAACTTATAATTAAAAATGTAAAATATTACATCAGTCAATATGGACTCGAAAATATTTATAATTCAGATCAAAGAGGATTCCAATTAGAATTTCATGCCGGTCGTACTTTAGCGCGCAAAGGTACAAAGAACCCATATAGATTTGCCAAAGTTTACAACGAGACCAACACTTTGTCAATGCTACGGTAATCCACTGTTTATCAGTATTGCGTAAACCAGTAATAGGCCAATATTGGCAAAAGATTGACTGCCAGCGTAAATGGGATAATCCAGCGTTGCAGTAGTGGCTAACACTGGGCCGACATACGGCTGCCAAGAAACAGCCAAAATTTTGTCAACCTGTGTAGATCAAGTACTGGCAAATGACTGGTTAATTACTTTTTAAAGACAGTCCAGCGTTATAACATAACCTAATGATTAGCAAATGTCCGGCAGCCAACCGTTGACCAAGGTCTTAGTAGCCAATGTTGAGCCAGCGTTGACAAATAACTGGTTGACTACCTTTAGAAAATAGTCCAACGTTTTAATTAGGTCAACGCTTTACCAACGCTACGGCAATCAACCATTCGCCGATATTCTAAAAATCAGAAATGGGCTAGCACTGACAAATGATTGGCTGCCTATTTTTAAGAGATAGTCTGGCATTAAACAAAGTGCCAATATTTTGTCAACGAACGGCTGCCAACTGCTGGTCAAAATTCTACTAGCCAGTATTGAGCCATCACTGGTTAATGATTGCTAGACTACTTACTAGAGAGCAGTCGAGTGATACAATATTTACCAATGCTTCGGCAACGTTTGCGCAACATCGATTGAAAACGTCGAGCCAATATTATCAGACAGTATTGGAGCAGCACAGGATTACGGAGGAATAAGGAGAGTCCGGAAAATGGCAAATAATGACGACTTAACGAGGACATATAATATCAACGTCAATAAAATTGATATAATAACGCTATTACGCTAAGATATTTTTTATATTAGTAGATATTATTATTGCTCTTTATGTTATATGCCATCGCTAAATCAGTACTATTTGCCACTGAATTCTTGATAAAAGAATGTATGGCTTGTTGTTAAACAATACTTTATTAATAAAGTTATTAATATTATAAATTGTTTACTTTCTCAAATTATTAAACTTTTACAGGCGTATAATTTATTAATAAAAACAATATATTAAATTTAACGTAAAATAAAATATTTAAATAAACGGAGTCGACGCGTTACAATAATTTGTACTTCGTTTACGGATACGCGTAACAATTCAAACAAAAAACAAAAGTAAAAAGAAAAAAGGTTTCATTATTATTAAACGGAAAAAACAATCTGCGATTTTCCAAAAGTTATTATATAATTATTTAAAGAAAAAAATAATCTAATAGTAAAAAAGGTGATCCTGTCTGTGGTCCTTAAGGAATGTTCGTTTCCCTGCGAATAAAAATCAAGACGGTAAGTAACTGAATTTAACTTTCGATACATCTCATGTAACAAATACTTACCTCGCTAGGGATTGCGATAATTTTCACCCTCCCTCACGGTCGGGAGCTCCTGAGAGCCAACGGCTTATAATTGAGGATATGTGTTTTACCTCCACATTCTCAGTACATTTGTCTATTAATACATCTGCAAAATATATGTATGTATGTGTTAATCATAAATCTTGACGATATAAAGTTATAATACTAAAATAATACTAACCATTCATACACAAAAAGGTTTGCGCCTTGCTAAAACCTCATTTGCCGACGCCACGAATGTTTTCCCCGAGCTGAATACTCCAGTTGTACTGCTTTGGACATAGTTGCTGTCATAAGTTTTTTGACACATGTGCCTCCAGCTATCAATACTATATATAACCGTATCTGAAAATTAAAATAAACTGAATCGCGCGTGTAAATGTTATAATAATCAGCATAATTGTGTTATATTATTTCAATATACTGTGACATGGCGATTTCGAGGTCGCCCATCACAAGAGGCGGAGGGCCTCCGAGGGGGTCTCCCAGCTGTCGCGCTCGGCCGCAATCGCGAGACGAGCTGCGGAATTTCGAGAAATAATCGCGGATATATTTTGGTGGCGAGCGATCTCGTACCGACGAGTGCGAGATTGCTGTTCTCTTTTTTTTGATGATACTCCCGCGCCCCTAGAATGTGTGTGCCCCTTCGCTGCGGGTAGCCTCCGACCAGCAGAAACGGCGGACCAGAGAAAGGAGACCGAGGGGAAAGGAGAAAGGCCTCGAGGAGCAGCCGTGAGCACTAAGGGATCTCAGGTGATGTCATTGGCCGCTTCTAATTTTGTTTCCGAACGATTGTGCCGTTGATGTCGCACCGCTGCCGCTGTATTTTTGTGTATTGTCGTAGCCTACAAAACAAACCGGGGCACGACACCTGATAGCGAGGAACTTTGATCACGCAGAAGATGCTCGGTGCGAAAAAGAAGGATTCCGAGCAGCATCTCGCCATCGCGTGACCGCCATCCGACCAAGGAGAAAAAGAAATTGGAGCGGAAAAGGATCCACCGGGGCCACGTATCTTCGGCCGGGGCGAACGAAGATCACTCTTGGCGAAGACGTGGCGGAAAAACGATCGGAGCGTGTGACGAAACCGAAATTAAGCTATCGAAGTTATCGAATCGGAGTACCGTTTTTATTGGTGTCGCGGCGACTAGCTGTCGGGAGATGGTGTACCGTACGAAAGAGAAAAGGACCGGTGCAGTATTGCGTGTCTTAGCGGAGCGAGGAGTGAGAGAGAGAGAGAGAGAGAGAGAGAGCGATCGAGAGAGCGCCGGCGGCGAGGAGAGGAGCGAGCGGAGCGGACGAGCGGAGGAGCGACTGACCGGAAGGAGGCTGCCGCCAGCGGGCGAAATTTGTAAGAGTCACTTTGTAAGACTCCGTTTGTTCGTGCGAACCGTTTGCGCGGTGGGACTAGTCAGCGGCTGTCGAACTTTGGGTGAAAATTTGTGTTGTAGATCGATTACCGAAGCCGTCTGTCGATCTTTCCGTGGAACGCGGGGAGCAGAGCATTTCTCTCTCTCGCAGAGCGGGCGTTCATCGCGATCGGAATCGCGGCTCGCGAGTTGCGCGGACCTATCGAGATCGCTGTCGCTTCTCCGTCAGGAGTCATCCGCGGAGCGTTGGAAGCGGGGCGCGAGCCATCGCAGTATATGGTACGGTTTCTGGGACGGGAGGGTTTCTGGGGGAGTGGGCCCGTCCCCAAACGGGGCACCGCTCCCCCCTATCCCTCCATGTCCGTGGCCAGGGGGATCCATCTTCCTCTAAGAGGAAGAGCCGGATCCCCCCTGCCGACGGAGGCGGGCCCGAGGCGGTCGAGGAGGGCATGGACCCCCGCTATTCGGGGGTCCTTCCACTTCCTCGGCCGGTGACACCTCAGGCCCGCTGTCTAGGTTATCCCTCCCATGGGTCGCCGACCACCCCGTCGTCGTCCTCGATGACGGGTTGAGCGTGGTCGGTGCTCCCTCTCGGCGGGCTCCTTCTTGGACATAACGTCCCTACTGAAGGAGGCCGCCGCTTCCCAATCCTCCTCGCTCCCGCACATGGATTGAACCATGCGCGAGAGCGAGATTTCCCCAATGCGACACCCCATCGCCCCGGCCAGGACACGGCGCTCCCCTTTCCAGGCCGGACAAGCGGCCAGAGTGTGGAGCGCCGTGTCGATAAGCACGGGGCAGTGGTGGCACCTGGTGGTGAGCTCCTTCCCGATCTGGTGCAAGTACTTGCCAAAACACCCATGACCCGTCCTACCATCTGATGCAGTATCTGCATCAGATGGTAGGACAATCCGCATCCCCTCCTGCCAGCCAACCCTGGCAGGCAGGTCGGACAGTTTGTCCGCCCACATCTCGTGGGTACGGGCCACAGCTTAGATTTGTAAGGCCCGCAGGTCACTGGCCTCTAGCTCCCCCTCCTCGCGGAGCTCCTTGACCCTCCAATAGAGGATTCATCGCTTTTCAGCGAGGAGCTCCACGGGAGGGAAGCCGGCCAGAGTGGTCGCCGCCATGTATGAGACCGTGCTGTATCCTGTGATCGCCCTTATGTACATTGGTCTCAGTGCCTGCCGCATGCGGCGTATGCCATCGCGGCAGGCGCTGAGCTGGAGCGTCCAGATCGGCGCCCCGTACAGGGCGATGGACAGCACGGCCGTCGCGTATAGGCGGCGAGCCCTCCATCCTGGACCCCAAGGTTGCGCAGGAGACTGGACACTGCCAGTCCGGCCCTGCGCACCCTGGGGGCCAGATTCCTGAAATGCGGGCCGAACTCCCATCGGCTGTCCAACGTCAGGCCGAGATATTTAATCGTCGGCCCGACGCGGATGCGGACGCCATCGACCAGGAACTGAGTCTCAGGCGGCGCTCCTCGACTGCCGTCGTGAAAGAACATGGCCTCAGTCTTATGGGGCGCCACCTTCAGACCCATGTCCGCGATGGTTCTCACCACCGATGCCACTGCAGCCTCCGCGCAGAGGCGAGCTTCCTCCAGCTCTTCCCCCGGCTGCCACTAAAGTGTTGCCTACATAGCAGACGATGTGGCAGCCCGGGGGAAGCGGAGTACGCAACATCCGGTCGAACGCGATGTTCCATAGCAGGGGGCCGAGAACCGACTCCTGCGGAACACCGCGTTCCATCGCGCGCCGGTCTTGGACCCCGCCCTCCTTCGTGAAGGCGAAGTCCCTGCCCTCGAAGTAGGCCTCCAATATCCGCCGGAGATAGGCGGGCACCCCGTGGTGTTCGAGGGCTCGTCCGATCTCCGGCCAGGGCAGGGTGTTGAAAGCATTTTTGATGTCGAGAGACACCGCCAACAACATCCCGCCCCCTTTCTCCACGACCGTCGCGGTCAGGTCCCGGAAGTACTGGGCCGCGTCCAGCGTCGACCTCCCGGACCTGAAACCGTATTGACGGTCGTGGAAATCCGGCCCCTCCGAGGATAGATGCTGGACCAGGCGGTCGGCAATGATGCGCTCTAGCAGCTTGCCCACCTCGTCCAGCAGGCATATCGGCCTGTAGGCCGACGCGCCCCCGGGTGGTTTGCCCTCCTTGGGGAGGAGGACCAATTTGGCCCTCCCCATGCCGGGGGAACACTCCCTCCCTGAGGCACCCACTTAGAACCCCGCGTAAGGCCGCGGATAGGTTTTCGTCGCCGAGGGTGGAGCCCAGGCTCGGCCAGGGAGCCCATCGGGGCCAGGGGCTTTCGAGTTTACCCCTGGCCTTGGCGAGCTCCTCTGGTACCACAGCCAGGCTCTCTTCCCAGTCTCCCTCTCCCATTTCGGGGGCGGGAATCCTGGGGGGGCTCCACCCTCGGGAAGAGGGTGTCGAGGAGCCCCTCAAGGGTTTGGCTGTCCAGCGACTCCGTTGGCGGAGGCGTCCAAGGGCGGGTCTTGCTCATTGCCCTTTTGTACGGGCGCCTCCACGGGTCGTCGTTCAGGGAGCTCGTCATTTGCTCCCAGGCTGCTCGCTTAGCCTCGGCGATGGCGACTCGGAGGGCCTTCCTGGCAGCCAGGTAGCCCTCCTTCACCCTCGTGATATCCCTGCCTCTTCGCCGGGTCCGGTAGATACACCGCCTGGCCTGGACGGAGGAGTCGCGGAGCTCCGCAATCTCCTCCGTCCACCAGTACGCGACGACAGCGGGGGTGGGCTTGGGACATCGCGGCGTCGCAGGCCGACGCCACGATACCCACTAATTCCTCAGCCCCCTCCTGGGGGCTAAGGGCTCACTCACCCAGCTCCTTTACAAAGTACCAGGTGGCCACGAGAACGGCCGCCTTGAACCTATCCGCGTCAAGTCGACTAAGAGCCCATCTTCTGGGGAGGGGAAAGTCCCCCTCCCCGTGGCAGCGGGGGGCCCGCACCCGTGGAAGTCTGGGGAGGCGGAGGGCCCGCACTATGTACTGATGATCGGACAGTGTTTCGCCCTCCACCTCCACCATCCACTCCCGAAATAACCGGGCGGCTGAAGGGGTTGCCCAGGTCAAATCGATGACCGACTCCCCCTTCAGCCGCACACAGGTGCTGGCCGACCCCTTGTTCATGAGCAAGAGGTCTAGCCCCGCTGCCCAGTCTATCAGAGCCTCGCCCCGAGGGTTCCTCTGCCGGGGAAAACACCCCCACCCTCCCGAGTGGGCGTTGAAATCCCCGGCAATAACGACGGGTCGGGGATGGCATCTGCGTACCACCTTCCCGATCCCGTCAAGGACCCTCTCTATACGGGCGAGGTCTCCTAGACCTTGTCTATTTCTTCGATGGTGGAGGTAAACCCCCACCACCGTGATGGGCCCGCAATCGACGGCCACGGACGAGGACCCCTTCTCCCTGAGCTCGCAGGGAGGGGTCCCCGCCGCGGGGGTTTGCCACCATGGCCACCGAGCCATCACTACTGCCGAACCAGCCTGGGCTGTTCAGCGGCACGTAGCGCGGCTCGGTGGCCATCCACAGCCTGGCACCCAGCTCTAGGGTCCTGTTCGAAAACAGGTCCTGAGCCCGGGTGCCGGTGCCGAGGTTGGCTTGTAGGACCCGGAGGAGCGTGAAGGCTAAGCCCTCGCCGCCTCCTCCGGGATACCTACTTCTACCCCCTGCTGGGAGACCTCCGTCGGTAGAGCCACTTCGGTCTCCCCCGAGGGGACATTGGCCTCGGTCTTGGTGGCCTCTATCTCGGGTTCCTCAATGTGCGCGGAAGCTTGGGGTGTCCCTACCTGAACAATTCCCTCCCCTGGGGAGTATGGGGGGGATATGTCCACATGGGGAGTCGGGGGTGGCTTTCCCACCGGCTCCCCTTCTAGGTTTGTTGGGGGCTTCCTTTCGAGGTCCACACTCCTCACCTTTCCTTTCCTCTTTGTGTCCGGGTCCTCCTCCGACTCTTCCTCCTTCGGTTGGTCCCGTTCCATCCCCGGCCTTTTCCTCGTCGGGAATGTCGTCTCCATCTGCTCCTGGGAGAAGCTCCAGTCATGTCCCTCCTCCGGCTATTCTTGGGACATAAGGACCGTCAAAGCTGCCTCCAATTCCACGTCCTCCCGGTCCCTTTTCGGCGGTCGGGTCTCCTCTGGTCCCTTCCTCTCCGCCGGATCCCTCGTTGGGGAGGTGCCGGGCCCAGCGCCTCCCATTTGCAACAACTCTTCCGGGGGGGGTCTCCGCGGGGATTCGGGCATCCCCCCGCTTCGACCCCTACCTTCCCAGTCAGCTTCTCTCCTTCCTCCTTCTTACCTCCCCTCCTTCTCCTCTTGGGAGGGGGCTTGCAGGCAGGCTCTCCGATTTTGTGACCGGAGGGCCTGCCCGTCTCGGCGCAAACAGGGCATTTAGCCGCCGCCTGATATCCCTTGGCGCGGTGGTCGGGGTTACCGCAGCGGTAGCAGAGACCGCTGCGGTCGACGGCGCTAATGCCCCGCTCGCGCACGTGTCCCCGCCCTAATCAGCGGTTACACAATAATGCGCGAGCGGGCAGCGCCGTCACACCAGCACGGGTCCACCCTACCGGCACCCGCTCCGCGGCAGCGACCTTCGCGGCCGCCGCCAACGGACACCGCACCACAACAACCCTATGCCCCTCTGGGAGATGCTCATACCTCTTGCGGACACTTCCGCGGGAGTGCATCCCCCAACTCGGGCTATGGCGGCCGCCACCTCATCAGCCCCGGTTGTCGCGTCCAGGCCGGAGAGTCGCAACGCTGCAAACTTCTCCGATCTCTGGACCCGAAAACCAGGGCCTTTTTCCGCCGCCAGCTTGCGGAGTTCCTCCGCAAGCCGGTCGGCGGAAGGTCCTGATTGAAGGCCAGGCACCTCGACCAGCATCGCTCCACTGAGGGTCTTACGGACCCTCAAAGACACCTTAATGCCCAGCTCCGTTGGTCTTATGCGGCGCCTAGCCTCCACCATAAACTCCTGATAACGCCCCTCAGGGCACAGGACTGTGACGGCCGCCGATCTCGGCGGCTTTGATTCGTCCTGTCTCGCCCCCCCCCCAGAACTTGCTTTAATGGGAGGATTACAGGCTCCTCCTTTTGCCTGCTCCCACTACGGCTTCCTCTTCCCTCTCCTTGTGACCTGCGCCCAGGTTTCCTCCTCCTTGACCGGCGCCTGTCCGCCTCCGGGGTGTAGAGAGTGCCACAACTCCTTCTCAACGGGATAACGGCCCCACTTCTTTATCACCTTTGCCGGGACTCCCATTCCCGGCTCCTCATTCCGGGCTGCTGCAGTCCCGGTAGGAGGACCCTTGCTACCGCCGTTCATTGTCCTCTCCCGTTTCTGAATCTCCTTTCGCTGCTGCACCACCTTCTTGTTTCTCTTCTTCCCCTCCTTCTTACCCCTTCCCTTCTCCGCGGCTATTCCCTGTTCCGCTGGTGGCGGTGGAACCTTGGTCTTCCCCGAAGAAGCAGTCTCCTTCCTTCTAGCAGCCGGAGTGGGCGTCGAGGCCGCCACCGCCTCGGATACGCGGCTACCATACTCTTAACGTCGAGGCGGGCCACCACAACCCTCAGGTTATCCAGCCTCGCCCCGACGTTGTTCGAAGGGACCGCATTGGCCAAGGCGGTGTCCAGGGCCTCTTTCGCCCCCTCCGGTCTCCGCACTGGGGGGGGGTCTCCACCGGGAGGTTGTCGTCAAACGACGGCACCTCCTCGGAGGAAACCCCTCTTCCCATCTTCATTTCTTCCTCTCTTGAGGCTAGGGACGGAGAAATTCTCCCCACTCTTCTTTCCTTCCTCCTCTTCCTCTCTAGAGTTCTTGCATCCCTCAGCGCCTCCTCTGTCAAGGTGGAGCTGCCAGTCGCGTCGGCATAAGTCCGCCTCCTGTTGTTTGAGGGCAAAGGGGGAACTGCCGGAGATCAGGGACAGACGGAGCGGCTTTAGAGCTTGGAGCTCCTCCGTTCCGCCTCGTCTCGACCCTGAGTCTCCTATTATTCATCCTCAACCCCTCCATTTCCCTTCTGAAGGCGGAGGTCTCATCCGCCCTTCCCTCCTGCTCGGCCACCCTGGCAATCAGGGTGGCCATCGCCGCCTCGGAGATGGCCACAGCGCGGTTAATCACCCTCACAAAGGTCCATTTGAGAGTTTTAGACCTTCGACTGCTTGGACTTTCGACCTGCGACTAACTTCACCGCGCCCAACGCGCGTCCAATCTCCGAGGCCAGCTCCGACATTTTAGCCCCCCTGAGGAGCTCGATTGAAGAGGGGTCCCGAAAGACCTCCTCGGTCGGGCGTGTATCCTCCATAGAACGATACAGCCCTTTGCCGAGGAGGTCCCAGGCTTCCCTCTCCAACCGTTTCAGCTCCTCTTCCTTCCTCTGCTCTAACTCCCTCTCCTTTCTCTCCCTAATACCTATCCCTTTCCTTGTTGTAGCGGGTCTACGCCGCTTCTTTGGGGCGGGTGTCAGAAAGGGGGCGTTCTTCTCCACCACCGCTGAGTCACCGCTGCTGGTGTTGGTATCACCAGCCCTCACTCTTTTTCTGCCACCGTTGTTCCTGGCGGCTCCACCATCCGTCCTTGGCGCTGACGTGCCCCTTTCTCCGCTAGCTATTGCTGCTGCATATGAGGCGTCGTAGCCTTGTTGGACCTGACTGCCCCGCTGGTCGTCTCCGAAGATGGAGCTCGAGCGACTACGCTCCCATCGCTCGTTGTCCTGGACATCCTAGGCCGACTGGTCTTCAATGTCAGGGCCTGGGCCTGGGCGCTCCTGGAAATTCTAAGAATGGGGATTCTAGATCCCTGCGAGAGGATCACGTCTGAACGGATCACCGGTTTTCCGTCCAGACGCTACAGTTCCCCCACTGGGTCCCCCCTTCCCCATCCCTTCCCTTTTGGCTTCCCTCTCCCGTGTCCCCCATGTTGTTATGGGGGCGGACTCCCTCTTCGAAGAGAGGGGGCCCGGCCTGCTGGCCCCTGGTACCTGTTCCTTTTTGGTCCCGGACCTCAAGGACTTCATTGTTCCACGCTGGGTGGTCGCCTTCTTCCTAGCCGGGAGGCTCACCTGTCCACCCCCACGGTCAGGGGGGACTGGCCGACTACACGCCGGCGAGGACGGTGGATAGTCCTCTAAACATGACCCCTCGAAGGCTAATCCTCCGAGGTCCATGGCCGTACT